ACCTGCAAAAATCAGTCGATTTCATGCCCGGTGTTTATGATTTCCTGACATACAAATTTATTTTCCTGACAAAGTGGCCTTCCTTGCACTGATCATATAGTACGAATTGAATGGTTTATTTTTTAAATGTTTCATAATTTTCATAGATCGAATACTGTTTAAAAATTTGAAATGTTTTACCTTGTCAACAGTTTTGAATGATATTTACAAGTCTTGATGTTAGAGCATGTTAACACGTGATATTTGTACTTCTGACCTAGTTACGGACGTAATACTTGTCTGGTAGCCATGTATCTGCAGTCAAGTAACCATGTTGTCACGCTACTCTCTGTAGGGGTTACAGCACGGTACAATCATAGAAATGGTACAATGTACACTGTAACGCTTTACCAACCAAAAGGTGCATTGATATTTTTATTGGCTCTAAACACAGAAATTGAAACACGAAACACTTTGTTTACACTAATCTGTGGAATCATAATTCAGAGTAAAGGTCAATCTTGCCACCAAATGTTCTTAAAGGGTTATAAGGATTTTTCATGCTACGAAGTACAGTAGACATGCCATTTCCATGGGTCAGTTTTAGAATGAATATAAACGCAGTTGAGTTGAATCATTATCATACCTTTGTGTATATTATAACTCATCAGGAATATCATAACCAATCCTAACGCATCTCCATTATATTTGCCAAACCACGATACAAACTACTGATATCCGTCCCAAAATCACTTTTTACCTCTACATATCTAACCATGAACATATCTTGACAAGCGTTGCAGCTACGTAGTGACACAAAGTTATACAATAACGATAAATCAAATAACTCGCGGTCGTAATTTAAGCTAAATAAAATCAAGAGACGAAGACAAACTACATAGTATCGGGTTACAAAGCCAATCTACATGTAACGATCATTGAAAGAATCCTATAAAGCGGCTGTCAGGTGAAATGAGCCTACACCCTCGTCCTTCGGCAAGATTTACTGATTGACTTCGACAGTGAAAGTGGAAGTGTACAGTTCGACGTCTTCATCAAACCTCGCGGCAGTGTGTAGGGAACAAGGTCAAAGTACAAGTACAGTAAACTCATCATTAATCCGGACCTCAATAATCCGGACATCCAGTTGACTGCATTTTATAACAACTAGCTGTTACCCACGGGCTTCACCCCATTTGACTTCATAAGTAGGCTATTAATAAAATTATTGATTGGTTAAGAAGTTAAGCTGAAATAAACAAAATAGAATACAGTAATAGAAACAAATAAGTACAGCTGAGGTATTTTTAACATTAGGTTTATGGAAAGTTCCCTTTGAAAGGAATTACAACCTTAAGCCAATCTAGAAATAATGGATAGTTTTGCGCAAGGTTTCTCGTCATGACGAACATTTTAAGTACATGGTTTATGGTTTATGGACTTGTAGTTTTTTCAAAAGTTCATGGGTACTTTGGGCTTTATATATCGATGTAAATACAGCTTAATTAGGACTGTAAAAGTACGCAGTTTTGTTCACAGTTTACAATGCTTCTGGAGTTTACTGTTCATTCAATTCTGGATATTCAAGATTTTAACTGTGACAGATGGTTAATTTTACACAAAGGGAAGTAGAACTCGACAATAACGACATCTGTCAGATAGTTCATGTGACATCAATGTGATGGCACAAAGGCGAAGGTTAAGTGAAAATACGAAGTGTTTTTTAAGAGTCATTCCATAACTGGATGACACAAATCATACAACGGTAAAATACGTCTATTACTTAATAAATAAAAGATACTGTGTTAGCCAACACTTTTTTTAAAGTTGTTACAAGAAAGGATGGGATATACTAACCACCTTAAAGGTAGCTTTATCTTGTTCGTTTCGTTATTTAGGAACAAATAAAAATTTTCATTTGGTTTAATTTTGATGGAGTGATTTGTGTTAAATAAAAAATCGTGTTTTTCAGGGATTCCTGAACGTTGTGTCTGGTAATATTCGGTTTATTAAAAATTGTTATTGATGATTTTTTTCGGGAGCGAGCTGGCGTAGTGGTTATAGCGCGGGACTTCAGTCCCTGAGGTCCCGGGTTCGATCCCCGCCAAGTCACCAATGGATTTTATCTAAGTGATAATGCCGCAACCCCTAGGTCTAGCCTGAAGTAATGTGAAAAATAATCCCAGCGTCCTAGGACAAAAAATTGATGAATTTTTGCTAGATGTAAATAACTGAATATTTCCAGACATGTGTGATTTAATTGTAGCTCTGATTTGCAGGTGATAGTGTAATATCTCACGCGGGTCCCACAAGATAGATGTCGCCGGTGTAGGAGGACCCACAGCCGTTACTATATTATAGTCTAGGAGGATTAAACATTAAGGAGAGGACACGCTGTAGTTTCGTTGAAGCCAGCGTACTGGGGAGGGGGGGAGGCAGCGCTACTCTCCCGCCCCCTCTCATACTGCGTGTTATGCGTTAACTGGAAGATTTGGTAACAGAAATATCAATTGACTTTTTAAAAATTAGACTTCATCATGCTACGAAAATTAAAAAGTTAAATTCTAACCGTAATATTAGGAACCTATTAAGAGGAAAGTCATATTTATTTACCAATAGTACGTTCAAAGGGGAGTAATTCACACAAGGACGACTTGTATTTTAGAATTCGTTGTCCTTGTTTTTATTTTTTCCATACTTGTATTGTGTATTATTTATAATACTCTAACCAGAGCGCGGGACTCCGGTTTATGGGGTCCCGGGTTCAAATCCCGCCATATCACCAATAGATTTTACTGTTCATAAATTAAAACTCAAATCATGAGTAGTACTGTATGTGTATTTGAACATTTTCTTAAAGAGAAATAAAATAAGTTTTAATCCTTTAAAAGAATGATAAACGCACTTTGGCGTCAGAAGACGCGACGATTGTTGAACATGTACACTTTTTACTCGAAGTTTCTTTAGGCAAACAGATCAAATATAGTTCAATATGATATTTAAAAAAATCAAGAATTTGATTGCCAAGAAATTGTTTTACTTTTTATGATTGTAATTTAATTGTAACGGCTGTTGGTGTAAAAAAAGTTAGAGCGGCTTTGCAATTTTTCTTAACTTTGGCTATTTAAAATCACTTGGCTAGCACATAAATGACTTAAAACTAGTAAAAAATGGTATTAACAAATCGAGAAAACTATGAAAAATGCAAATTTAAAATGTATTTCACCACCCGAATTAAAATTTTCATTTTAACCTATTATTAGTAAGATTGTTTTATAAACTGGAAAAATTAAAATAAAACTTTATTGTAATTATTTTTCTAAATACCACTTTTAAATATAGGTAAATATATATATTTTGTATTTCGAGAAACTCTTAAGGAACACGCATAAATTGTTAATTTGTGTAGATACATCATATTTTTTTCAAAAACCTAATTATAGTAATCATATGTGATTGACACCGTTCGATAGGAAATTTAATTTACTTTAAGGATGCCATCGGTGAATAACACAGGTGTTTTAGTTTAGCGGCAATTTTAATTCGAAACAGCGCGCGTCGCGTTTTTCCCTATCTCTCCCATGTTGTAGCCGAGGCTTTTTGCCACTCTACGGCTCCGCGTGCCCCTCTAGTGTTCTGCTAAAGCTGGCTTCACCGCAACACGTGTATTCATATTCGCGTGCCCTCTCCTTAATGTTTAATCCTCCTAGATTATAGTAGGTGAACGTCCTGCGCGGCGCGGCGTCTCCAGAGTGTTTTGTTATGTCAGCTAAGTGGCCGAGTCTAGTCGACCAGATCTGGTCTATAAATTCGCGACTAGACGTCTCTAGGCCTAGACCACTAGACCGCGAGGCGACAAAGTTGTCTTCATCCGTTACCAGTAATTATCAGACCCATTCAACACCGAGCGCGATCTTTCCCTTTTCCCGATTCCATTAACCTTTGCCGACCGATTCTATTGTACTTTTACTCTTTGAACGCTTCTCTCTGGGTCGCCACAGGTATAAATCTTCACCTCGGCTTTCAAACACCTTCCTTATACGAACGCCAATTATCGGCCGGTGCCACTTAGGCCGGTGCGATTTAACGCATTCTGATTATTCATTAGTTTACTGGTTTTCTCTATTCCAGTTTCCTACTTGTTCCCTTGTTGGCAACCCTATTCGGCACCAGTGTGGGACAGAAAGGGAATGCGGTGGTGAAGAGAGTGTGTAATCATGAAAAATTGCTTTGTGATCGAAAAAAAGTAACCAAAGTTTGAGTAGAACATCGTGGGGGCCACCAACTACTAGTAGCGCCAAACTCCTTCCAATTTAGCCACCGCCAAAAGTTCCATTTCGAAATAGTTTTCACGTTTGACCCCAACGAGCCAATTTATTTGACAAACTATTCAATCATAGACCGAGGTCGAGAAATCAATCGCAAATAGAAAAGTATTTGGAATCGCACTAAATTAGCCGGATATCTAGGTTACGTTCGCTAGAGACCAGAGACTGATGGTGATCAGGCGCACCTTACTTTCACCCACGCCGTTGCACCTCAAGTGGCGTAAGAGCAAGGCCAAGTTTAACTAAAACAGCCACGCTTCTGTCTCATGAGCGATTGTCTCATTCCTCCATTATGTAAACAAACGTTGCGAAAGTGAAAGTCCCGCAAATAATATCTCTATTGTACTAATCAATACGTGATCGCTGTCTGCTATGATTCCATTGTTTCCGGGGAGATTTCCGGCATTGCTAATTATAGACCGTCTTCTTTGGCTGACCCTTGATGTTCCCAAGCATATCAAACATCAGAAATTCATTTCCCTGTGTTTTTTTTTTCGAAATGTACATCTTGAGGTGGAAGGTGTCATATACAATTAACTTAAGTGCCTGCATAAGATGGTATCTTAAATAAAAAGATTTGAATTTGCAGATTGCAAAAAGGCTCCATAAAATTTAGAATGCATATTTATAGGACACAGAATCATAACAAGTACAACCCCGATGCTATTGAATACCTTAAAAGAAGTTACTTACCTCAAAAACCAGTGGTGTAAGGGATTCTACTTCCTCCAACTGAGGCTTCTCGTCTACCAGGGTTTCCTCTGAACAGCCTTTATCCAATTTGCTGATTTCCTCCTCATCAGGACAATCTTGAGCAAGAATAAACGTTTCATTATCACTATCTTGTAACGACTCTTCGCCTTTTATCTCCTCCGAGTCGTGATGATCCGTCCCGCCTTCATTTCGTGAATCAACATTATCAGTGGTCTGAACCGAGTCTTCAACCACGTTGACCACTTGAGGTTCATCGCAGACCGCCACAGAAGACACATTCTGTGTTTCTCTCACATCAACTCCGACTTTAACCACGGTCACGTGGTTCAACACCTCTTCATCCGAGTGGTAATCATTAGCTACGTACCAAGATGTGGTGGAGACATCGGAGTTGGCTCTCGAAGTACTCTTGCTTCTGGGAGCCACCGCGACGTGAGTTTCCCCGGCTTCTCCATTCCCGAAACTGTTTGAAATACCCTTACACTTCTTTTGAATAAAACTCTTCACTCTTTTACTTCTGCTCAACGACTTGTTGGAACCGATTCGGTTGAAGTCGTCGATCTTGTTCAGCCCTTCGTCCGGTGTTTTCGCAAACTCTGGTCCTGCAGTCCACGCTCCTTCGGGAGAGAAACTGGCTTCTAGATCCTTGGTCCGGGCCTCTTGGCTGCGCTCGCTCGGCGTGACCTGCAACAAAAGTTGCACATGAGATCCCCTAGTCTGTAGTCTGTCATTAGGATAATATCAGTTCTGACTGCACCGGAGCACCGGAGCACCGCAGCACGCACACACCTCGTGTTCGCTGCAGGCCGGGCTACGAGCTATGATAATGCTGTAATAGGTGCTGGTAAAATAAATAAAACTGACGCATTATCCTTATGTATACGGCCGACCTTTAATTTCTGTAATTGAGAACGGTAAATACTTCTTGGGTGGTTTCCAGTAAGTGTGGACTCAAAAGTGGATTTTTAAGCTTAGATGAGAGGTTTACCATATTAGATTTTTCAGTTGTTTTTTTTTTTACTAAGAAGACAAGCTACTATTTTTCAATTAATGAGGTTTAAATAGGCTTAAAATATAACCAGGAATTCGACAGTGATTAAAGTGCATTTTTACAAGTAATGGAATACTTTTAATTTAATTCTAATTCCATAAACAAGATTTGCAAACCGAGCACATACAAGACGCTCTCTAAAACGTGTCATCTCAATCTTAAAATGCTGTAAAAACCTTTGTACTTAGAGAAAAAACCCACAGAACAGCCTTGAAACCCCTGTGTAACCAAGTTCAACTTCTACAGGTTTACGGTTACTTCTACGCTACTTATCTAAACAAACATCACTCAAACTACCTTTAAAGGGCCAAACCCATACACCAACAGCCTACTAACCAACAGCTGCAAATTTTACTGGTAAAATCAATAATCAACATGTTCACTAGCGACAAGTATCGGAGCAAATAAAAGTGAAGATCAGAAGGAGGAGACCTTCAATTACGTACGATTAGGCTAAACCTCCGATTAAACCGAAAGTGAAAAGACCTTCGACTGCCTACGATGAGGCCTCTATTATCATGTTCAAATCATTTATTAATATCGAAACATCGAACGTGTAAATGGTAGTGAAAGTGGACGTGCACTGCATAATAAAAATAGAAAAAACTTTACCCGACCCTTCCTATTTCGGAGAAAGTAAGATGGCTGTATCATCTTCGGACAATCTGTTATATCACATGATCGACAAAGGTTCCAGTTCGACCACGTTTAACTAAAAGCTTTAACTAATTACTCAAGTAGTTACACAATCTCGATCGTGAGAATCGAACTATTTATGTGACTTCTTCAAAACACTTTACCGAACGCAGCGCTTTCTTTTCCTGGTCGAAACATGAACTACACGAATTCACTTTCAATCTCTACACGGTAGAGTAGTTACGAATTAAATTCGGCGTTTTTATCGCAAAGAAATGTTTAAGTCTTTGCCGATTTGGCGAGGTGAAATTATTAAATTTACACGACACACGGTTTAGTTGCATGCAATCGTACAAAAAATATCAAAATATGCTCAACTGTAATCTGTAATTTGGTTTGAATTTCTTTTACAAGTTGTAGCTAATCAACATAAGATAAAGTGGTTATAAGACAATTTTTGAAGCTCTTCCCTTACAATAAGCTTTCCAACATCTCGGTACACCCCATCGATATATAACTACTACTGTAGTAGTTATACAGGGTGTCTCAGACCACCCGGCCGGCTTGTATAGCTCCAATATGAAAGCAAATGGAAACCTAATTGCAACTGGAACCCCCTATTTTGACCCCAAGGAATTCAGCTAAATTATTTTCAACCCCAAAAAAGCACCCCAAAGGGCAGATTTTGGGGGGTGGGGGTGGTTTTTGGGAAATTTTCAAATGTAAAGGGGGGTCGTGTTATACCTCTTTTTAAAGGTCCTTTAGTCCTGAGTATTTTAGTGGAAAAAGATTTAAATTATCTTCATCCCTATTTACAGGGTGTTCAAAAACGTACAAAAAATAGACCTTTGAACTACTTTTCACTGTAAAGAGGTGGAATTTCGTGGGGGGTTCAAATTTTGATAACACTTTAATTAATAAATGAGCTTTCAAAAAACTCTGGTTTCAACCCTTTTGCTATCTTTTTACTTATGTTACGCATTTTCAAACTTTTTGAAGTTTCAAAAGCTGTTATCTTAAAAATTTCAAATGGCAACATGGGTTTCATTACAAACCACATTGTAGCCCTTAAAATATGCTATAACTTTTGTATTTAATGTTTTTTGGTATCTTCATTGGTTAAAGAGATATAAAGAAATTAGTGTATTTTAATGTTTTATTAAATGGTATTCAAAGTGTTTGCTGTTGCAAATGTACACCACTAGGTCTCAATTAAAACAAAATCTTGTCTAAAAAAATAAAATAGTACTCAGATTGTTGATCTTGGAAGATTGATAAAGGAAAGAACACAATTGCAAATATTCTTAGTTATTTTACAATTTCATGGCTCTAATAGTGCTTTGAATGAATAATTTGTTTGAATCAGCCTACATACCGATGGACTTCTACAAATGCTTAAATTGCCTTCCATTTTGTTCCATGCAAACCCCAACTCTGTTTATGCACGTAGTACTTCTTCTCCACTATTATGGTACTGTATTGCTATTTTACTACCGCAGGTGCATTCACCTCTTTTACAGATCCAGTAAGTTTCTTATAATTTGTTTTATCTTATCAAACGTGACCAGTTTCACGCACACGCTCATTGATTTCGTGATGATTTTTTTTATTTACCAGTAGCATTTATAGACAGTATTCATTCAAAGCAATTAGAACTTTGTAATTGTAAAATAACTAAGAATATTTGCAGTTGTGTTTTTTCCTTTATTAATCCTCCAAAGTTTAACAATCTGGGTAGTATTTTAATTTTTTAACATAATTAGTTTTAATTGAGACCTAGACGTGTACATTTACAACAGCAAACACTTTGAATACCATTTAATAAAACATTAAAATACACTAATTTTGCTATATCTCTTTAACCATGAAGATACCAAAAAACATTAAATACAAAAGTTATAGCATATTTTAAGGGCTACAATGTGGTTTGTAATGAAACCCATGTTGCCATTTGAAATTTTTAAGATAACAGCTTTTGAAACTTCAAAAAGTTTGAAAATGCGTAACATAAGTAAAAAGATAGCAAAAGGGTTGAAACCAGAGTTTTTTGAAAGCTCATTTATTAATTAAAGTGTTATCAAAATTTGAACCCCCCACGAAATTCCACCTCTTTACAGTGAAAAGTAGTTCAAAGGTCTATTTTTTGTACGTTTTTGAACACCCTGTAAATAGGGATGAAGATAATTTAAATCTTTTTCCACTAAAATACTCAGGACTAAAGGACCTTTAAAAAGAGGTATAACACGACCCCCCTTTACATTTGAAAATTTCCCAAAAACCACCCCCACCCCCCAAAATCTGCCCTTTGGGGTGCTTTTTTGGGATTGAAAATAATTTAGCTGAATTCCTTGGGGTCAAAATAGGGGGTTCCAGTTGCAATTAGGTTTCCATTTGCTTTCATATTGGAGCTATACAAGCCGGCCGGGTGGTCTGAGACACCCTGTATATCGATGGTACACCCTAGTGATGACCGTAACTGAACGTAATGAAAATGTTTTTCCATGGACATTAAATGTTCTGCAATTTTACTAACATCTGAGCGACCAAGTCTATTATTCCTTCTAAGTTATCTGTGCATGTGAAAATCTTATAGTTGGATCTAAACAAACTAGTTACAATTACAAAAATTTATCTAGGGTACTTCAGCAATAGAATTTATGTACACAAATATGTAGGTTAAGTCAAGAATACAGGAATGACTCTATACCAACCCATATATTGTTGATTTTGGAAATAATGTATTTATTCTTGTTTGTATCCGTAATTGTAACGACAATGTTATTCTTACTCTTTTCGCAAGGAGTTGGTTCAAAACGTGGTCTTGTTGTTATCATATGTAATCAAAACAGCAACTACCCGATTTGAAGGCGAGCACTCTTAACCATTCGGCTACTAGTAGCATATTGTTGAAGAACATGTTAAACAGTAGACAGTCGCTTACACGATTATGACAAAGTAAATAGATTTCTTGATCAAATGAATCATGGTTTTACTATTACAATAAATTGCTGTTATTGCATAATCAAATAACCTAAATCACGTTTACACTAACAGTTATCCATTTGTATATGACCATACATCATTTCCTAACACGTCCATGTTTCCCTGACTGTTTACTTAGCCAAGGTAAGCCATAAAGCTCATGTGACTGACAGGACATTACAAGCGGATGAAGGAGCAATAATTTAATACACATGTGTAATACAGTAATACAAGAGCATTGCGTCACTGCGATTGTGCAAGTAAGTGAGGAAACGGTCTAATATTAACCCGGTAGCAGACACATCGAGTAGACAATTCAAGGCTACAGACGTCCATTCTATACAGCGTGAGCCATGTGTTGCTACGTCTATGGAGTGTTAAGCCTGATATTCGACTAAAATAACCTGTTACGTATAGTACAGCTTAATCGTCAATTTCAAACCTTAGTCACATCATCCTGGTTTAAAGCTTTTTTTACGAAAATGTAAAAGAATGTAGTCTGATTATGACTACTAGTTTCTTTGCGTGCCAATTTCCCCGATTTTCTGAATTCAAGAATGAAGCCCTGTACACACCGGAGCGATGCTTTATCGCTGGGCACGCGCGATACTATTCCTAGAATTTTATCTGCGATACTTGGGCGATAATATCGCAGCGAAAACAGGTGCTTCCACACCAGAGCGGGAAAGGGACGCGCGGGAAATCCAGTACACCTCAGAGGGTGCGGTGGTTGTGAGACTCTATAGTTGCAAAAGTGTTGTGTTATAGTTAGTGTTTGTATACACTAGGCACGAGCCTGGGATTGTTTTTCACATTACTTCAGGCTAGACCTAGGGGTTGCGGCATTACCAGTTAGATAAAATCCATAGGTGACTTGGCGGGGATCGAACCCGGGACCTCAGGGACTGAAGTCCCGCGCTCTAACCACTACGCCAGCTCGCTCCCCAATCACTTTAAGGTAAGACTGGTATGTAGATATATTTTTCAATGAGTTGACGGATCAATTAGCATTCCA